AAAGAAGGGAGAGCTGCACCAAAGCACGGTAGCAGCAAAGTGCAGCAACTTATGCTGCAAAATGTTGAGGAAATGTTGGTGAAATGAGGCTGAAATGTAGTGCAAATGAAAGCAAATGGAAGGCTGCAAAGTAGCAGCAAGAACAGCCACATGGAGCCACACAAATGAAAGCAAGACTTTTAATGTAATCTTGTATTAAATGTTTTGTAGATTTTTCTCTTAATGAAAAAGTATTAGGTACTGTTTATGTATTGAATTTTCTACTATATAATAACATAGCAATGAATGCAAAAAAATAAATTCTCCCCTCAACGAACTCAGAGGGAACTCCGGGTGGCTCTCTCTTCCTCCTCCAAGTCCCTTCCTTTTCATAAAAAATTTCTCCAACAGGTGCCTTCACTGTTTCAGCTGAATCAATGCCACCTTTCATTTTCGCAGCAGTCTTCCATTTGGCAAAACAGAATTGATTAAATAATTGAATCATGGTATCCCAAGTATTTATAAATTAACAATTGAGTAGATAAGTTCAAAATTTGTTTCAATTATCCTTTTCTGGTCAGCACTTTTAAACGGGTAATGCTATAGGGACCGATCACTCTCTAAGCCGATTGGTCCTATATATATATATTGCTTCTTAAATCTAAAATTTTAAATTTTACCCTTTGGTCCTGCAATTTTAATTTTTAAATTATTGAATACCTAAACTTTTAAATGTTAAACCTTAAACCTTGAAAATATAAATCTTAACACATTAAACACTAAATTTTAAAAAAATATAAACTCTAACATTATAAATTATATAATCAAAAAAATTTAAATCCTAGTATCATAAAATATAGAATTCAACAAATTTAAATCCCTTAAATACAAAACCCTAACACCCTAAACACTTAATCCAAAAAAAATCTAAACCCCAACCTCCTAAATACTAATCCCTAAAAAATTTAAACTTTAATTAACATAATAAACATTCAATTTTAAAAAATCTACACCCTAAAAAATTTAAATTCTAACACATTAATCCTTGAACCTTGAAAATATAATCTAATCCATAATATTACAATTAGTAAACCCTAATGCCCTAAATTAAAGTAATCTTGTTTGATTTCAAAGACTTAAAATTATGGTCCTATAAACTTGAGGGCTTTTAAATTAGTTACGCCCTTTCTCATACTCAAGAATCAAACGAACGTGGCATTGCCACGTCCGCTCGGCCTTCTGTCGGCATGACGGGCTTCGGCCGCAATAGCATTATTCCTTTTAAACTATTGTCGACACTTTTTTCCAACAAACACCAACACATTTGCGGTCGATATTTCTTCATCTCCGTACACCTAAATTGGTACTTTCCGTCCGAAAACGTTACTGGGTTTCCCTGATGCTTTTCTTCGCTGAAGATGATGCCATTTTGAACTTCTGGGTTTTCCATCAACAGTCAATTTGTGTAAAGTGAAAATGGTTTGTTTATGCATTGCCAAAATGCATGTCAAGGGAGAAGATACGGAACAAATGGTAATCCACACAAATAAGGAAACGGGCGTGAACATTTTAATTAATTGGGAGCAAGATCGCAGATCAATTTCTGTACCCCCAGACAAAGGCCTACCGAGTGATGTGAAGGTAAATTTTCTGGGCGGCTGCTGATCCCCAGTGTTGAAATTGCTTCCCTAGTGGACCACCATCTGTACGGACAGGGAGACTTAAAGGGTTGATATATCACTGGTGTTTTCTAATGATTGGTCGGTAAACCGATTTTAAGATACAAAACAACAGTAAAAATTATACTTAAGATTGTAAGTTTGAACTTGATGGTTTATTTTTTATATATAAATTATTATCTGATGTACTGAAAAAATCACTATAAAATTATTGAAAACAAACTAATTGTATTTTGTATGTATAATTTGAAGATGCACCTTCTAACATTAATGACCGCATAGCGCAGTGGATTAGCGCGTTTGACTTCGGATCAAAAGGTCGTGGGTTCGACTCCCACTGTGGTCGACGGTTAAAGTAAGTTTGTCCCCTAGTTTTGGTGAGCCGAAATCAGTAGGCAAGCGGAACAAGAATTTTCCATTTTTGGGGCCAATTTTCTTTTGAGTTTACTTAGGTCACCAGGAGAGTAAATGCAGAGTGACGTGTCGGTATCACATTCACCAATTTGTTTTTTTTTTTTTTTAACTGAACTGAAATCATATAATTTCATTACACTCATACGATATTTACATTAAAAAATCTTATTCTATTGATAAAAATAGATTGCTAAACAAATTAAGCATAACTAAAGACTAAAAACAAAAGTAGATCAAGTTTAACATTAAATAGATATAAAGAAGGATAATGAACAAATCATAAGAACAACTTTTAAAAAATTTAATTTTCACAAATTCTTTTAGTCAAACGTTTTAGAAAAATTAAACACCCTTCAATTTATTCTCGAAATAGATAAACCAACTCTTTAGAATGTCATGACTAAAAGATTAGGGCAAACAGCTATCAACGTTAAATTTTTCTTTTATTATTTTTTTGGTCACTAGATTTAAACAAAACAAAACAAAACAAGAAAACAAAAAACAGGAAAGGAAAAGTAAACAAAGACCACCAGAAGGGCCGTCAAAAAAATCGATAAACCACTTAAGATGGTCAAGTAATTACCATACATTAACCTTAAAATTAATGTATAATTTATTTTATAAATTTATTTAAATATTTTTAATAAAAAAATTTTATATTATTTTATTAAAAATAATTATATAAATTCATAAAATAAATAAAGTACAATTTATCTTATAAAACTTAAATCTCAATTTTCAAGTAAAACGACTTTTAAAAATAGTTAGATCTACCATACTCTGATAGCGTATTTTCTCAATGAAAAATATCTCATTTTCCTGACGCTCCATCATCGAGAATACCAGTGATAAAATCAGATAATATAGTTACGAGTTTTTGTAAGTGAAGATGATTTGTTCATGAATTTGCAAAACGTGGGGCTTTGGTCAAGGTCAAGGGAGAAGATATGGAGCAATGGTACCTAATCCGCAAATGAGGTTAGAGGTGTGACCATTTTGAGAGTGATGTGATATGAGTTGGTAGGCACATGTTGGTTGGGTAGGCTCCTATTCCCTAGTGTTGCAACTGCTTGCCTAGTGGATCACCGTCCCCAAGGCAAGGACAGGGACATGTGAGCGGTGACAATTGAAAGCGGAGTTTTCTAGTGACAATAAATCATTTGAAACAAGCGTATTATTTCTTTGTAATACATATTTAAAACTGACAATAAATCATTTGAAACAAGTATATTATTTTTTCGTAATCCATATTTAACAAAGGCGCATAGAAAAAGATAACGATTTAAATATTTTAGTAGTTATTTTTTTATTAAAAATAAAAAATTTTAAATTTAAATTATATAACATATGAATAAAATAAAATAAAATATAAAATAAAAGATAATTATCTCTAATTATGTAATTAAAAAAAAAAAAAGAGGCGCACCGAAAAGGCCGGCTTCTGCTCTGCTTCCTCCCTGAGAGGAAAATCTTATGGGGCTGTTTGGCTAGCGGAAATTTTTTCCTCAGTTTTTTAAACTTTGTCTTTTTAAAAGATTATTTATATATTTTTATATTTAACATTATAATAAAATGAGAATAAAATTTGACATTTTAAATATTTATTTTTTAATACAAATTTTAAGTTATAAAATTTTCTTCTCACGTATTTTGAAAAAAAAATTCTTATAATTTCTCTTAAATTAGGTTTACCTACTAATTTTTTTATTAGTTATCTATATCAAAATTAATAATCTAATAAAATTATAACAAATTTATCAACATATCTTAATGACTATCTAAACAATAATTTCCAACTTTTCATATAATAATTTAATAAATATTTTTCAAATAATAAACTTTTGTAATAAACTTACCATCTCCCCAAACAGGAGTAGAAGTCGAAGGAGGTAAGACGACTTTAATCAGGCTCCGTGTAGTTTTTCTTTACAATTGGGCTTTGAAAAACTTAATGGCCCCGATACATACAAAAACCGAGGAAAGTCCCACCCCAAATGCCCCAATTTGGGTATTGGGCTCAACCGAATTGTGTCCAGGCTCACTTGATAAAGCCCACTAAGCCAGACTTGCTCGGCCTTGAATTTTACTTTGAGCGCTGAAATTCGTGATGCATTCCCCTTCCCTCCTGATTTAAAAAATCACCACCGTTTAAACACGACGCAGACGGCACTGTCACGGCAGCCTATGATTATGAGTGTCGTTACTATTCAATTAGTTAAGATGATCAATTATGAAATTTTAACTTTAATTTAATTATTAAAAATAATTAATATTTATGACAATATTAAAATTATAATATATTATTAAATAAGTAAAAAGTGTTATTAAATAAATATATAATATTATAATTAAATTTTAAATTAAAAAATTAATTATATAATAAT